GAATAACCCTGAATAACCCTGAATAACCCTGCAATAGCCGTTTTTTTGTTCTACGGTTGACCAAAAATCACTGACAATAAAATAAAATAAAATAAATCGTAAGAAAACAATATGACTCCCACTTACACTTTGCATGCAGGGGTCATAATTATCACAAAATTAACATGTAATTTCCCTCTGGGATCAATAAAGTATTATTGAATTGAATTGAAAAAGGTGAGTTTAGCTGAAAAATATGCTCAAAGGAGCTAAAAGTTGCTAAAATTGCAGAAAACAGCTGAAATCAGCAGAAAACTGAAAAAAGCATTAAAAGCTAAAAATAGTAAAAAGAAACCGAAAGAAAAAAATTGTTWAAAGTAGCAGAAGAATATTAGGAAAGGTCGAGATGATAGCTTAGAACAGAAAAACAAAAAGCTCAGGTCAGCAAAATAAGCCGAAGAAAGCTTATAATAGCACAAAAAGTCGACAAACGCAGAACTAGAACACAAGGTAAAAAGTACAATAAAGGTTTAKAAACATTTTAAGGGTGTTGTAGATAGCTCTCTTCATTTTCARTGAGACAAACATGGCAGACAAAGCTAAATATCTCAAAGTGTAACTTGCTTATACACCATAAGTCATAGCAGGAATCTCCAGAAAGAGCTAAACATTTTGATGTATAGATAAAGCACAAACTATTCATAATAAGATAAGTGCCAAAAACATATGGAAGAAAAGATTATTTTAATTGTGGAAATGCTTTATAAGCATTCACACAATAATATAGTAATTTGTGTGCAAGCAATTCAATTGTCTTGTTCTGAGGAATTTATCTGTGAGTGATGAAGACTATCATGGAGTTCCTATGTCAGTGTTTAGAATTGAGTATGTGCCCTTTGAAAGTTTTACTGTAGAATTTGAATTTATTGTTAAAAGATGGTTAAACACAAGTTCCAATATCACCAAGCATAAAGACCTCTCTCCTTTAAAGAATGCCTTTTCTCCTGCAGTCTTCTACTGTAAATTAGTTATTAGTAATTTACACAAATTACTGAATCTGATTTGAAACGTCACAAATAAGTCCCCGTCTTCATCCTGGATTTTCTCCCAGACTTCTGGAGTCCACCAAGCACTGTAGACATCCAAAACGGACCGCTGGGGCTTGTTGCCTCAACCAGCGGTGGTCAGGCTCAAATGGGGACGAATCTGGAGCAGTGTTCTCTGATGGCCCAGTGCAGACAAGGCAAAATCTGCTTCATCAACCCACTCTTTCTCCAGCTGGAGGTTTGCAAGGTCAGCAWCAAACAACTAGCTCTCTCTGACAGAAGTGCTTTGAAAGACTTCTCTTCACTTTATGTACTTTTTAATTGTTGTAGTTGCTTTCACCTTGTATCTTACTCCTTCTCGCTTTACAGCAGCTGCAACACACAAACAACAGTGCCTCCAATAAACGRAACCGCTTCAAGCGAAGCATGCGGCTCCGGCTCTCCGAGTCCTCCATGAATCTGTCCCTCGAGGGAGTTGGATCCTACTCGCCTTCCCCGTCAGTGGAGCAGCCCGGCGGGTCGGAGGGGCTGCACAAGGCCAGCGCCAACCCACAGAGGAGAGTTCACCCRGGGGCTGGAGTCTTGAGGAGAACCCCTGCCGTATCCCCCGGTTCTGCAGAGGAAGACGACATCATGTCTACATATGTGCCACAAGTAAGATTTAGAGTCTTCATCTGCCTTTTAAACTATGGTTGTTGTATTTTACAGAGTTTATAAAGAAAAGTTTCTGTTGTTGTAGACATCTGCTCCTGGGGACGAGCCACCAAAGTTCCAGCAGGAGGCAGGAATTGAAGGGACAGTTCTGGCCTTGGAACACCAACCGGCGCCGTCGTTGGCGGAGCTGGACAGCAGCAGCTCCTTCAGCAGCATGGACGAGGACAATGACTCAGACACGGAACCAGAAGGCACGGTCCCGGCCCAGGCAGACGTGTACCGGCGCCCGCCGCTCGTCCGCTCCCGAGGCCGCGGCGGGATGCATCGCATGAGCGAGGCCTTCGTTTGCTTTTTYGCTCCGGACAAGCGCCTCACTCGACTGGTGGAGGAACTGTCCCGAGACAGACGCTCGGTCTTTGGGGGCATGGTGCAGGACTTCCTCTTGGAGCAGAGAGAAGTGCTCAAGTCACTGGCCTCCTCTTCGTCTTCGTCGTCGCGTGTGACRTCCGCGCAGCTTCTGCAGAGTCTGCGCCTTTTCCTGTCACAGGCAAAGTGCTTCTTGTTGGACAGCAGAGAGCTGGAGCCCCCCATCGAAACCCTTGTGCCCGAAAACGAGAAAGGTAACGAAAAGGAACCTTTGAACTTTGAACTAAACTGTTGTTTTTTGCAGGTACTAATTTAAAACACCTTAAGTTTTAACACCGTAAAGAGATCACCTCCCAGCCTGAGGCCTTTCTTTGTGGAGTTTACATGTTTTTCCTCCCACAGGCTAGATCGTTCAAGTTCAATTTACAATAGGCTTCACCTCAGAGGGCATCAATCTCACTCAGTTCAAACATTTCCTTCATTCAACAAACAAAAGCGGAGGTTCCTGCTTCAGGGTTTACCTTGGATCATCCAACATAACCATACAAGGAAACACTCTAGAGAAGCTTCTTTGTTTGCTTTTTAGTGCCGATAACAAGCAGAGGACTCCAAGTACCAGAACCTTTCAGTGACACTGTATCTCCAGTAATGGATGCCAGCGGTAGTGTTAAACTGCACACAGTAGCTTTAAGCCAGAGAAAGTTCTCCAGTCCTGKGAAGTACTTTTTAAGCTTTCTCATCAGCCATGTCACCAACACTCAAGTGCTTTTTAAAAATCACCTTGTAGTTTGGGTTGGTACGATGGAGCAGTGSTTAGAGCTGTCACCTCTCAGTAAAAAGGTTGCAGGATCAACTCCTGGCCTGGAGCTTTTATGGGTGGAGTTATGTTGGTCCACTGTACCTGTGGGTTTTCYTYAGGTAMTCCAGTTTTCTTCCACCATAAAGCATACATGTTAGGTTCACTGGTAACTGTAAATTATCCCTGGGGGGGAGTGAGGGTGTGAATGGGTGTACTCCTCCTCTTGAACTATGACTGCTGGACTGGCACCCAGAATAAAGAAGCTGGCTTTATTCTGAATGTGTTTTTGTGACTGTGGCGTTCCCCGCAAATTTCTAGTTTAAAGCGGTGGAATCACCCCTGATTATCCAGTWCAGGATTGGCTGCTGTACCCACAATCATAAAAATTACTATAATTTATTAATTTTTGCAGACATCTGTACTTTGGTGTTGAAGTTTTCAATACCATCACATATTCTAAGCACTAATGGATTACCCGTTTTTATTTAGCATGCAAGACAATATGCATTTAACAAGAAATGTTAAAATCTTAAAGGAATTCAAACCCACATACAGTAGCAGGGAGGTGTGGGCCAGGTAGGGCAAGTGGTTTGTCAAGCAGATGTGGACCAGGTCTTACAATGATGGCACTGTTTTTAAGATGGCATGCCMCAACTGATCCAGTTGTGGTTTGGTTTATGTGGTGCCGGCCCATGCATGGACCACCATCATACTTTGCTGTGTCTGGGCCGAGTGTTAATGCCTTATGTGGGCCAGAGCTGAGCCTCACAAATTTTGCTACATGGGAATTCTCACTAAATAATTTCTGTGCACAGTCCAAGCGCAACATACTAAATCAGGGGGGTGTCCARTCCTGGTCCTCGAGGGACACTATCCAGCATGTTTTRGAWGCTTCTCTGCTCCAACACACCTAATTTGATTGAATGGATGGTTAACAGGCTTTTGTAGAACTTGAAGAGGTAATTCAGTYACTAAATCAGGTGTGTTGGTGGAGGAAAACAAGCAAAACATGCAGGATAGTGGCCCTCGAGGACCAGAATTGGGCACTCTGGCCACTAAACCTTGCAAAATTATCTTTTGCATGCATACTGTAAATGTGTAAAAGAAAGAGACTGAAGGGGAAAACCAACTGTAGTCTTAGAAAACAACTATTCAGCTGACACATTGCCAGAGGATGGAGGGCTATGSAAACAGACAGCCTTTTCTGAAAACCAGTGGGCTAGGGTTAGGGCAGTCTCCAGTGAAAAGCTCAGTCAACACAAAGTAGTTTGTACAGCGTGAGGGGAGCTCACGTTGTCCTTTGATATTTTAAAAAACAGTCATGTTTGATGAGCCATCTCTCACAATCCATCCCATTCAGAGTGCGATTCATTCCAATATTTTAAAAGCGTTGCAGAGTGTTACTTTGCAAGAAATGTGAGATCTTTTGACACAATGCTCTGTGTAGGCTTCCCTCTTTTTTTTTTTTTTTTTTGGAACTGCTTTGTGTCTATCTAAACTTGAAAGTGTGTGTGTGTTTTGTATAAACATGTGATGACGAACGACGGTTGCCTGGCTGTACCGAAGCTTCGGGGAGGAGAGCGGTCAGCCGCTACCTTCCGCTCTCCCTTCCTTCTTTCCTTCCTTTCCTGCGTTGCAATTCTGATTTATCTCTCATTGCGTCGGTGGGAGGCATTTGCATTTTTTCTCTCTCTCTCTCTCTCTCCCTCGTTTATCATAAAAAGATATCAGAGTCCCACGCTCACTTGAAAAGCTGCACGATTCACGGGGAGGGTGGGAGGTAGACAGAGAAACCGGCAGGTTACTTGTAATCAGTTACAGGTCTGTGAGTAACAGCTAAAAAAAAAAAAGTCAGCTTTTTAAAGCGCTGACGGTGGGCAGCAGGGACTGTAATCACATTACATGTGATGTGTTACTTCACAGCACTGGTAAACGAGAGACGGAGTGTGAAATGATTGATCACGGGGGGGGTTATAGTGATGTAGATATGGATGTGAGGGATTATACAGGAGGGAATCATGGAGGAGGGGGAGGAGGAAATTAATGATGAGTGGAAAATATTGAGTCAGGACTGCCCACTGCCTGCAGGAGAATTACCGAGAGTGTTTCCACGTGTAAGAGCACGCATGCATGAGCGCTGCACATGAACATGTGTATTATCTTTTGTATTTTTGTTGCAGGACCAAAGAGAAAAAATAATCTGAGGCAGTTTTCACGGGCCAGCAATTTTTTTCTCTTTCTCTTCTCAGTCAGTCATTGTAATGGTTTATAAAATATACATTGAACAGTCATAGAATAGAATAGAATAGAATAGAATAGAATAGAATAGAATAGAATA